GGGGGGGGGGGCGGACATCATATCAACATCAACATCAGACTAGACGAACCAAAATAACGAGTCAACGACGATATATGAATTGTAGAGTTTTATCCAAAGAAAAAAAACACAATATTCATCTTTCTGCAATAAGCACCAGAACCATACAAGCCATGATAAACATGCCCAGCTGGAAATTTCCGTCGAACACAAATACATTTACATACTTCATGTCACAACATCACTCTCCATTTACCATTCCACACCACAAAAAAAGAATGTATGTATCTTATGATCCCCCCCCCTGAATAATCGACCCTCACCCGGCACACTCGCATGCAGCTAATACACAATATGCAAGGAACCAAGCCCCCATACAGCGACAGCAACTTGCTGCAGTAACAGAAAGTATGATCACTATAATCATCATACCTTGCACATTTTGCCACGCGGGCTTACTTACGTCCTCGGCGGGGGCGAAAAGAGGGAAAGCGTGAATTTTTTTTTATTTTTCTCTACAAGGGTGAACTGGCAGAAAAGAAGAGATAAAAAACTAATTCATAAGCATAGTATAGTATGGAAATAGTAGGGGTGTTCTTGCATGTCGTCGTATTTGGTAGTGGTGGTGTTGAGACAGAGCGTACTTGTTGAGTACTTGGGTACGTCGTCCCCCCCCCTTTTTTTTCGGGGGGGGATGGGGTAAAGTAGGGTAGGGTTGTCTTGATACTATCGCGGGTTATGGTGTGAGTGTAAGAGGGGGAGAGTAGGGAGGGCAGTTCAGGGTGCGATATGATGTGCTTCTTTCAGCTGAAGTGAAAGTATATAACTTTCTGGCTGATGATTATGATGACGATGCGAATACTTGGTCAAACACAGTGCTTCATTGCGCGTTTATTCAGACGTTGAAATTAACATTACTACTACCATACATCTACAATAACAAAACTATACAACGAATCATGGCCTCAAGGGGTTATAATAGCCGGTTCGGTAATCTTCCCCTGGACGATTTCGCGCATAATGCGCGCCTTTTGCTGCTCTTCCGCCTCACTGCTGACGTCCTGGAACACGTGGTCCATTTCCTCGAGAGTCTTTCCCGACGTCTCTGGAATAACGAAGAATGTAAAGATAAAGGCGAGAAGGCAGAAGACGGCAAAGAAGGTATACGCGCCGTAGCCAGTGTTTTGAACTAGAGGCGGTGTAATGAGGCCCTAAATCGCCAGTCAGTGATTGGTCGTTTGATAATGCGAGAGTAGTGACTTACAATGACAAAGTTGTTGAACCAGTTGGAGCATGTTGATAGTGCAACACCTTTTGCGCGTAGTGAAGAAGGAAAAATCTCCGACGGCATCGCCCATGGTACGGGACCCCATGTGGCACCAAAGCTGAACATGTAGAAGAAGAGGAAGGCAACGGCAACCCAGCCTTCAGATGAGTAGTCAGCCCACCGGCCACCGAATTTGCCTACCAAAACAGCAATGATGAGATGGCAGATGAACATGAGCCCAGCACCGCTGAGGAGCAGCGATCGACGTCCAAAGCGATCCATGGTCCACAGACTTGTCGCAACACCAACGAGCTGTGTGCAGTTGATGATACCGGAGAGGAGAAGCTGCATCTCGTAGTCTTGGCCTAAGGTTTTGAAGAGCGAGGGCGAATAGTAGATGAGCGCGTTGATGCCTGAGCTTCATTAGTCGCATTCTAGTAAGAATGTTTAAATGTACATACCAACAAATTGCTGAAAGAACATGATACCAACACCAACAACGGTACGTCTCCAGCATCCGTGTCTGAAGCAGTCGAGCCAAGACTGAACCTCGAGCTTGAATTCATTCGTGCGAGTTTTCTCTTGGAGTTTGGGATGTCTCTCTGCATTGACTTCGTGGTTGAAAGCAACTTCGGCACGGATTTCGCACCATTCCTGGAAGACACGGGCATCGTCGGTAGGGAGTTTGCGGAGCTTGCCGAGAACGTGAAGAGCCTCATCGTCACGACCTTTGCTTGCTAGCCAGCGAGGGGAGAAGGGAAGAAAGACGATACCAGCGCCTAGAATAAGACCAGGAATCATCTGGATAAGAAAAGGAAGTCGCCATGCCCACTCTCCAGCCATATAGCGAGTGCCGTATGTAGTCCAGAAGGCGACTACAATACCGAGGACGATGCTGAACTCCTGCAAAACCAGGAGAGCACCGCGGATTTCAGGCGGCGCGATCTCGGAGATGTAGAGTGGGGCGATTGTTGCAAGTCTGCATTTTTTAGATTCTGTTCGAGAAAACGGTATAAAGTGCAACTTACGCTCCGATGCCCATTCCTCCGATCAAACGCCCTACAGTGAGCATAGCATAACTCATAGCCGCTGTCTGTAAGATGCTTCCAATCGTAAAGATGATGACGACAACGACAATGGAGTATTTTCTGGATAGTTTGTCTGCAATCCATCCGGCGAATAGCGCGCCAATCAAGGCACCGAGCTCAAGCATAGCAGTCATCAAGCCCTTCCAGAACCCGGCGCCTGAAGCATCGTCCGAGACACGAGGGAAGCATCCAAGGAACTGGTCCATGACAAGAGTCACTGAAATGACGCCCTGGTCGTATCCAAAGAGAAGACCTCCAATGGTAGCGAATGCTGCGCACATGGCAACATATGGGTTGGTGAAGAGGCCGCTGAACCCTTGTGGAGAAGTTAGCCACGATCAAGGTTGTCGTGGGCTAATGTTGGTAGTAGGGTGCATACCTGAAGGCCCATACGGCTCCCTAGCTACTGGCCCATCTTTGGAGGCGTAGGAGGCTGACGTCTCTCGCTTCTCTTGTGGGACACTCTTGATGGAATCGTCTCCACCCATGGTAGTCAATGGCGTTTCTGGCGTGTGGGTATTTGGTCTGGTGAATAAGGAGGCTCGACTGAGAAGAGCAAGGGAAGGGAAACGGGCCAGCTTTATGTGCTTTGAATATCTCGCTTGAACTCGCGTTAGGTCTTCCAGGTGGATCCACAGTAGATATCTGTCAACGCTAGCGCAAGGGCTATCACTTCTGATGCGCAGACACGGGACTAATTCCAGGGCAGAGACCGATCATCTCACGTCGATGTCCAGCCAGAAGGCCGACTAGAAAATTCGGCATCCACACGCCTCTGCGAGACTTGGCGGCCACGGTCGGGGGTCTGTTGCGCGTCCAGGCTGCTGGCGTCGGTGTGTGCGTGTGTGGAGATCAGTCTGTCGATGCAACGTCGGGCGTGCGTCGTGCGTTGAGGGCCCGCTGGAAGTTTCTGTGGACCCTTGGTCCGATACTGGCCGATGTGCTCTGCTATGAATCGTGAGACTGTACCAGACATCCGATGGCCATGCTGAAATTCTTGCTTGCTTGCAGCCCGCTTGTCATTGTCCATTGAATCTTGATATCGGCAGCGTCCCACTCATCCCAAAGCGCCGCATTGTGTTCCTGGAGTCGCCATATGCTCGTTTCTGCATCTTTAGAGGCCGCAGTGATTGATACAAGCGCCCAGAAACCCCACAGAGTACATACGACGTCCCAGCGCTACCCCGGAATCCCCAGAATTAGGTTCGCATCGTTCCGCGCTGTGCATTTGTCCGGTAGGGCAGGATCATGTTCTAATTAATCGTCTTTGGGGGAAATGCAGCCGGCCAGAGTGGAGGTCGCGGCGAAAATTACTTTCTGTAGTCACGATAGGCAGGCGCTGTGGATGAAGCTAGTCCTGAACCGGTGACGAGGGCAGGTCCCGCCGTCAAGTGGGTCGTAGTGTGGGGCTCTACCATCTAGGGTAACTTGAGCCGCTTGTCTACTCCTACACAATCAACCACACAAGACGCAATTCCTTTGCCGACAGAACCTAATTCCATGGTCCCGGTATATGTTTAACCGCATAGAGCGCGATCCGATGCTGGGGACTCCACATTCTGGCTGCCACGCATCACGCCATCTTCTCCAAAGCATGGCATTCATTGCCAAGAGTGGAACTGCCATGGGCTTTCTCCACAGGCATGGCATTTGCTGATTCTCATACGCCGGCCTTGTTATGACGTCTGTTCTTGACTCGTGCTTTGAAACGTTACGTAGCATCGGATGAGACTGCCAGTAACCCTTGAACTGCCGACCGATGCGCTAAGAGAATATCCGGCTGCAGCTCATGGAGGGAATGCCATCTGTGTTATCACCTTTGTACCCACTGGCCCTCTCAGCACATATGCCCATGTCTCAGTGGTCTTACTGCTGTAGACATTTGCTGTGATAGCCTTGATTGGAGACGAATTTTTGGAATGCGGTCAATTCATTCCATTGGTGGAGCCAATTCATGTTGACTTTTCTCTTGTGAGGAGCCAGGCTCGCCCAGTATGTCTTCCATAGCCTCCATCTACTTAGCGTTTGTTTTCACACTTCTATTGCTTCTACCAGCACCTACTTGTGTTGTTGATAATAATTCTCTTCCATTTCTGGGGGCTACAAAATAGAAGCACCAGTCATGAGAAAATAGGACATGTATTACCCACGTGTATTCATCATCATTTTAGTCTGTTGTTGTTGAATACAATCAATACACAGTATCAGCAATATCTTTTAGCAAACTATGTGGTCACGTAGCCGCTTCCCAATATTTCCCGAGTGGCCATGGTGCCACCAAACCACCACATGGCTCTGCATGCCAGAAAGTCACATTGAAGGTAGAGCAAAAAGAAAGTGCATAAAAAGAATGCAATGCAAAAAGAGCAAAAAAGATGAGTGGTCGACACAGACAAGATTCGAACTTGCGAGGCCGAAGCCATTAGATGACTCAAATGTAGAATTCAAGTCTAACCCATTAACCACTCTGGCACTGTGTCTGAATTGATGGGAACAATTGTAATTAGGGCATATATATTCGTAGAGATAAATGGTGTAGCCAGCAAAAGCAAAGGAGTGGGGCACAATCCCGTCGCGCGCTTAAAGAAATTCATATCAAAGTTTGTTTCATTGGACGATTAGAGACTAGCCTTGCCACTCAGCGACCACTTCGTCTCACCGGTAACCTTGCCCTCCTGCTTCAACTTGCCCAAGATTTGCAAGACACCCCTTTCGGCGGGCTGCCAGAGGCTCTCTGGATAGTCCTTGTAAATCACCTTGACAATGTCCATGGAGCTCATGCCAGACCCGCTCTCGTCGGCCGCCAGCACATCCAAGACCTGCTTCTCGCGCTGCTTGCGGTGGGCAATGTACTCTGAGATCTTGGCTGGACCGTCTTCAATGACCGGGCCGTGACCGGGGTATGCGCGACCACCAAACTGCCTCAACATGGCGTCGAGACTCTTCATGTATGCGGCGAGATCCTCGAATACCGCCGTGCCTTGTCCGAGGACGTTGTCGGCGGTGAACATTGCGTCTTCTTCCTCCAACACAAAAGCCATGTGGTCGGTGGTATGTCCGGGACAGAAGAAGGCACGCAGCGTTGCGCCCTCGGTCTCAAACCGCTGGCCATCGCTTATCGGCAGCCAGTCGTCGTGCGGGTCCTTTTTATAAACTTTGGCGCTGGGCGCATGCTCGAGGAGATCAGGGACTCCCTGGGTATGGTCATGATGCCAGTGCGTCAATAGCACCTTGTCGATTGCAATCTTCTCCTTTGCAAGCAGCGACTTGATGGACGCTATCCATTCGGGCCTGCCCTCGCCCGTGTCGATGAGGAGTCGAGATGCGCCGCGACCAACGACATACGTATTCGTGCCTGCACTACTTAATATGAATACCACAATACAAAGCGATACACGCACCTTGCAAGGTAAACTTGAGTGTGTCAGCGCATGTCGTTTCGTCGTTATGCGACGCGGCTCACCTTGTTCGGGTTGCCACCGAGAACCCTAATCACCCGGTCACTCAACTTCTCGATTTCGGGGAGAGGTACTAGAGCTTCTACCATTTTCGAATAGAGCCTGCGCGACTTGAAAGTATTTGCTAGACCTGGCAACCGTGAGCGCAGCATTGTCTCTTGCTCCAGGTGCCCGCCTAACACCAACTTACCGAGGCTCCTCGCTTATCACCTTCCATAGTGGGGGTAAATCCAGATCTACGCCGATTTAGATACACATCGTGATTATTCGCCTCTGCAGACTTGGAAGAAGAAAAAATAAGCCAATCAAGATGGCGCCCCTGATTGAAGACGACGATATTCCGTGAGTTAGCCTTGTGGGGATAATGGAGATGTACTAAGCAATAAAGGCAGCTCTCAGGCGACGCCTTAGCCGCCCTGCAGCAGTTCTACGGCGAGCGGGATGAACGCGCAAAGCAATTCCAAGAGCTGAAAGCCAAGGCTGAAGATGACTTTGAAGGAAAGCTGTCCATGGAGGCGTTTACAGAGGACTGGAACGCGAGTCAGTTCTGGTACAGCGACGAGACGGCCACGGTCCTTGCAAAGCAGCTTCTGGATGGCGCCACAGACGAGACGAGGATAGCGGTTGTGTCTGCACCCAGCGCTTTTATACAACTGAAGAACTTAATTGTAGGTGTATTTGGGATATGGGGTAGAGAAAGGGGCCATGTTGACAAGCGACTAGAATTCAGGCGAAGTCAAGTGTCGGCCACAGATCAAATTGCTCGAATTCGACGACCGCTTTGCAGTTTTCAAAGAGTTTGTCCCGTACGACTTTGAGAAGACGTTCCAGCTGCCACCTGAGCTCAAAGGCAGCTTTGATGCTATCATCTGCGACCCACCATTCTTGAGTCAAGACTGCCAGACTAAAGGTAAGTCTCTGTGTGATCAATCCCCCAGCGCCTAGCCTTTCTAACACGATCTAGCTGCTCTGACTGTACGATGGCTGGCCAAGTCGTGGACACAAGAGTCGCTGCGTCTCATTGTCTGCACTGGAGAGCGCATGGAAAGCCTAGTTACCGAGAAGCTCTACGGAAAAGCCGGAGTCAAGACTACGGATTATGAGATTATGCACACCAAAGGACTGAGCAACGAGTTCCGGTGCTATGCCAACTTTGAGTGCGAGGCGTGGAAGTGGAATTCATTATGACATGCAGAGATACCAGAGTTTGAAATCATGGCAATTGAATATCTCAATACTAAAGTCCCAATCGCATTCTTGAACGAAGCCATATCCCTTGGCCGTGGCGTGATGCATGGCACACCAGCGCAAGGCGCGACAAAAGCTACCCCACCTTATCCGGCCAACCCCACCCCACTTCGCCCGGAAGCTCTCTCTACCCTGCGTCATCTTGGAGAACTCCCGCACCAACCGGCAAACTAACCAACCAACATCTCAATCCCCGAGTACCACAATGTCTTCCGCTTCATGCATCTTTTGCAAGATCATCAAGGGCAGGTGTCGCTTTGACTAACCGCTTACGCCATGCTAACGCGCTCATGCAGGCGAGATCCCTTCGATGAAGATCTTCGAGAGCGACAACACACTTGCATTCCTTGATATCGGGCCATTGAGCAAGGGACACTCTGTACGTCTTGGTTGATTTGCGCTTCAGACATGTGCTCAAGCATGTAATCAAGTCGGCTAATGCGCAATACACCACAGCTCATCATCCCCAAGTACCACGGCGCAAAGCTCCACGACATTCCCGACGACCAGCTGGCTGAAGTCGTGTCGGTTACAAAGCGCATTGCCGTCGCACAGAACCTCCAGGACTACAATATCTTGCAAAACAACGGCCGCATTGCGCACCAGATGGTCGACCATGTGCACTTCCATCTGATCCCGAAGCCGAATGAGCAGGAGGGCCTGGGCGTGGGATGGCCGACCAAAGAGGCAGACAAGGGAGAGCTGAGCAAGCTGTTGGAGGAGATCAAGAGTAAAATGTAGAGAGCATAGACACGGCCAATTACGAATGGAAAGATAAGAATGCGCATTTATACATTGACACCCTTGTTCTCTACTCGCCCTTGAAGACGGGTTTCCGCTTCTCTCTAAAGGCAAGAAGGGCCTCGTCCCGGTCCTTTGTCCTGACTACAAGATCGTATGCAGCGTTCTCGGCTTTCTCGCCTAGCGCGCAACCCTCGACTGCCGCCAGCGCAGCCTTGATGGCAATGGGACCACCCTCGCAAATGTTCCTCGCCAAGTTGATGGCCTCTTCCAGGACCTTCTTGCGTGCACTCCCTTCTTCTTGTATGTCTTCTGGCGTGATTTCTATCAACCGGTCGCAGAGGCCGAGGAAATAAGCTTCTGGCGCCGCGACCCTGCGCCCTGTCAAGATCATGTCTCGGGCGCGCGAAAGTCCAATTAGGGCCGGGAGGCGGTAGGTTCCTCCGGCGCCAGGCAGGATGGCAAGACGAGTTTCCGGCAGGGCGACTGTGGTGGTGGAAGCGAAGACGCGCATATGTGTCGTGAGAGCCAATTCAAGGCCGCCGCCAAACGCTGGCGCTGCCACTGCGGAAATGGTAGGTATGGGCAATTGCGAAATCGATCTAAATGTCCCCCGCAATGATGCCAAGAAGTTTGCTGTGCTGTTGCTGCTTGTTAGCAAGGGCGCTTCTTGGATCTAAGTTCGGTGTCAAACATACTCCTCTTGTGTAAATGTAGCCCTCTCTTTCAAGTCTGCGCCTGCGCAGAAGCTAGAGTCTACTTCACTGGCCAGGATCAACGCCCTGGTTGGCCCGTTGTCGCCTTCGTCATGGATGCTGTTGACTTGGTGGCTCAGCTCGGCGAGCAATTGCTTGGATATCGCATTGCGCGCGGCTGGCCGGTTCAATGACAGAATTCTTATGCTCCCGCAGTGTGGCGCCGGTACGCTTGTGACGTTGATTGCTGGGGTTTGAGCCGTCGCAAAGGTGCGGGCTTGGAGCGCGCGGTACAAGATGCGGGAGGCAGAGCGAAAGAGTGGCATTTCGAGCAACGTGCAACAACAGGGCGTGGAAAAGGTTTTGGTGTGGAGCAGGTTACTTTGAAGCTTGGGTAACCAAGACCAAAGCTATAGCTTCGGTAGCGCCCGCTTGGTGTTTGGTGACTTCATTGCCATGGACCGCGGTTAGCCGAGTTGCTGGGGTACCGACAGATTGTGCAATTCACCCCAGCGACCCACTCTAGGCAGCCTCGCGCGGCATATGCTCTGTACCTGACTTCCCCTTGCTTCCACACGATCAATTCCTCCAGCTACACTACAAAAAGTGAAGAGACAGACCACTTATCCGCCGTACAGCCATGACTTCACCCAAACACACAAAACAAGCGCATTCGCCGACTCTCGACACGCTGCCTTCAGAGCTGAGGAACCTGATAGTTTCATATCTAGCTCCGACATGCGCCCAAGACATGAAGCCAGGATGCAAGATGCACCTTCAAAACGCCAATCTGGCACATTCCTGTCTGCGAGAAAGCGCCACCGAATACCTCTTCAGGGACATGACACTGACACACGTCTTGCTGGGCGCATCGTGTAACCTGGAAATCTTCGCCGTCACGAAAGAGAATGCACATTTGCTCAAATATGTAAAGCACATTGTTGTTCAAGTACGAGACACTAGTCCTCACAAGCATCTATGAACAGACATTAACCAGCACAGGTCCCGCCTGCTATCGCATGGGAAATTGGAATAGATGGCACTCCAGACATGTATCGTATAGGTGAATATACTCACAATCGCCTATGCCGCAAGTTTGGCGTGTCATCAGTCCAAGACATGTCGGAAGAACAGGTCGAGTACTGCCGAGGATACCATGAAGCAATGGTTACGCCCTTTACCGATGAGCGGCCCTGGTATGCGCACTTCCGCAATGCCGACAGTATTTTCCCTAGGATATTCCGCCACTTTGTCAATCTCACGGCTATATCCGTTGGATGCCGTGAGAGAATTGATATGCCTCGTCCCTCGCTTACCAAGACATTTATGCTCCAGTACGGCACATCAGTCCTCGACGAGGTGCATCCGCTCTTCGTAGAAGACTCCTCGACAAGCAAGGCTTGGGCAAGTGCTAGCACCATGAGATGCGCTCCATCCAGCGTACGCAGCCTGGAGCTTACCATGGCCAGTGTGGACGACGGCCACCCTCTCGCCTCCATCAACAGCCTTCTTGGCCTCAACTACCGCCATGAACTAGGCGGCATGCAAAAACTCATGCCAAATATAACGCGGCTCAGCCTCAGCATCCACACCGTCTTGTGTCCCTACATCAAGCGAGAACTGCAAGGCGACACGCAAAGCGCACAAGCCGTATCCTCCTGGGCAACAGAACTCAACAACATGCCGTCCCTCCAGCATCTCGACCTTACGAATGTCGCGCCCAATACAACCGGCATGACTGTCTCAGACACAACAAAACCTTCCGTACTGCCCTTGCTGTTACCAACGCTGGCGCTAACCCAGCTTTCCACACTCAAACTCCACAACTTTACACTGTCCAGGACGGAGCTCCAGGACGCGCTCAACGGCACGTGGCCTGGATTACGGAAAATACGGCTTGACAATGTGCAGCTGTGGATTGAACCAACAACTACCACTCCTTCAGAGCAGCATACCGAGTGGATCGATGCATGCACCTTCGTGCTGCTGCAGCACCCTGGCGTACGCCTTGAATTGCATCGCACGGGCATGACAACAGATGCGGCACTAAGCTCGCTTCGTATACAGCAGGCGCAGTATGCAGATGACTTGAGTAGGATTCCTCGTGTTGTTTTGATACCTTAGGTCGTGCATAGGAACGATGTAAATATGTAAATCAAGATTCAGGCTAATTATATTATAACCCCCCTTCCATTTTGTTAGATCTGTAGAAGAGAAATAGTGTGTATGTAGAATACTTCGATAGCTAAGTAGTAGATATCAGTTGTACTTGGAAATAAGTACGACCTTTCCTGTCCAAATATAAAACGAGGGAAAAAAAAGCCGTGAACCCGCATTGTAAAACACCAAGTATACTGCACATTAAGCAAGTAGGTAAGTAAGTAGGTAGGTAAGTAAGCAAGTAAGTAAGCAAGTAATACCCTTCTTTTCAAGAAAATGTCCCCTGGGGAAAAAAATTTTTTAAATAAGAATTTAAGTCTAGGAATAAAAATAACGGGAACTTGTCGTTGAAAAGAAGATAAAAAGGATGATGTGGGTCTTCAATTGCCCAGTTTCAAGTCCAATACTAATTCTACTTTGTCTTTTGCTTATCGTAAACGCTATATACATACATACATGCATACATACATACACACACATACATACTTGGCGCAACGCCCACGCCCACGCCCACGCCCACGCCCACGCCGGCTCCCTCAAATGCCTTACTACAACAACATGCATGCAGAACACTCCCTCTCCTTAAAGAACTTCCAACAAGAAAAATACACATACACACGCACACACACGCACTCAGCTGAGTTAGTACATATATCTAGAAATACCACCTATCAACTTCATTCTTTGTCTCATTCTTTCTGTCTGTGTTTCTTACTAGGTTTACATGTTCATTTCACCATCTCACGCACACACACATGTTTATTAATACGTATGCATGTATATACACGCATGCGTCGCACCCATGCGTCTGTCTGTCCGTCCGCTTTCTAACAATCGCGAAAGCAACAGCCCCAACACGCATTCCTGAATTCTACTCTACTCTACTCTACTCTTCAGCCACGACTTCCCTGGCCCTGCAGACGACACAACCGCTTCCCACCGCCTTCTTGATAACATGTGCGTGTGCGACTTTAGCGCCTACGCTGCGGGACCAGCGGCCTGCGGTTTCGGATTCATCGGCGGCGGCGGCAGCGACTTGTTGCTGGACGCCTGCTGCGACGCTGGGGCTGGCGTTTGTCTTGGGGAGAAGGCAGCTGAGGTGGAAGACGTGGCCGCAGGCGAAGCCGACGAGGGTGTCGCGGGAGGGGGGTAAGGGCGTGTCGGAGTCGGTGGTGATGGCTTCTTCTTCGGCGGTGGGCAGCATGAAGGGACGGTGGCAGCCGACGCAGTGGCCTGGGGGAGCGTCGCCTTGGGGTGGGCTGGCCGGGGTAGGGTCGATGTTGGGGGTTGTGGATACAGCCGTGGAAGTCTTGTCTGCTTTGGCTGTGTATTTGGCGGCTGTCGCTGGATCCATGCCCTTTGTTTCAATGTCGATTGGACCTTTAACAGGTCGCTGCTTGGCTGGCTTCGCGGGGGCTCCATCGTGGCAAGGCACCACTTCGAACTTGACGCCTCGCTTCTGGCCAGCTCGCAGCGTGTCCATGCCTGCTGCTACTTCGCCGCGGAGGACCCGCGCGACGCCTTCAGAGATGGAGTATTGGATTTCGTATTCTCGGACCATGCGCCCAATGCCGTCGCGTAGGCCTTCGATCTCGAGGCCTTCGGGAATGCGCCGGACGAGCTTGATGGGGTCGATGGCTGTGCCGACTTCTTCGAGAAGGCCGCGGATGAAGTGCGGCTTGTCCATGGAGTACTCCAACAGATCGTTCCAGAGGTCAGGATCATCCTGTTCTTTGGCAAACGAGATGGCAAAGCTGACGTCGGAAAGCTTCTCGATGATGAGGTACAGAGCACGCTTCGTTTGACCTGTCTTTGAGAGGATATGTCTAGGTAAGTTAGTCAGCCGTCAGGATGCAATAAGGAACAACACTTACACAAGTTCTGGAATGTACTCTCTCCTCTCACACTCTGCAGTGGCCTTGCTCAGGTCGTAGCTCTGAGATTTGCGAAGGTACTCCATCAGCAGCGGTCGATCATACTCGGCAAACAGCTCGACAATAAGGTCTCCAAACTCTTCGGCGACAAGTTTGCCATCAGCTACCAAACGGTCCTCGGCCACCCGCTCTTTGGCCGTCTTAGCAGTTCGCTCGTGCATCTCCGGCTTCCAAAGTTTCCGCAGATAGAAATGCAAAAAGGGCCTGAATGATGGACTCTTTGCTTGCAGTTGGCTCTCGACATCGCTTGCTGGGATGGTACCTCGGCAGCCCTCCTCAACAAGGACGTTGATAGCTTCTGACGATGCCTCTTCCAGCTCGTCCAACTTGGTTGACGCCGACTTCATCAGTTCTTTGGAGACTCCCATCATGATGAAGCCCGGGATGTCGTCACGCACGGCTTCTACAAGGTGGAAATCCCGTATCAGAGTCATAGCCGCGTCTGCGTTTTGCAGACGGATGTAGCAGCGCAGTGCCTCTCTTTGCCGGCCACTTGCCAGGTACAGCTTCGCCAGACCGTCTTGTAGTATTCGCCAATCTCGGCCTTGTACATCGCCTTCGACAGATTCTTCAGTGACATCGCCGGCAGAGAGCTTGCTCTTGATAGCCTCAATGACACTATTAATGTCAAAGAGATCGGGATCCCAATCCTCGAGCAGATGCTTGAAGCGTATGCGGTCGTGAATGATGTAGTGCCCCAGGATTACCTCGTATACCATCGACGGCAGAGGCGGTTGTATCGGCTTCTTGGGGACATATGGAGAAATCTCGTTGAAATGATTTGTCTGTGCAAACTTCCACACCCAGTGTTCCCACCGCGCAGAAGTTCCCAACACGCGTCCAGCAACCTTGCCCGCTTGTTTCCAGTCGCCGGCGTTGACAAGCTGCTGTACCCATAAATCTCCGATTCGACGCTTCTCCTTCTCTACCGCCGAGTTCTGGTTGGCCCGCGTGGCAGACAATGTCGTCTGAGAATCGTTGTCATCGGCGAAGAATTCATGTAGGCTCCCATGCTGCTTTATCGGTGTACCGGGGTCAGAGGCATCTGAGGGTAGCTGCGCGACGGACGTAATAATCTCGGGGTGGTCCTCTAGTAGTTCCCATGCATCCTTGTAGTTTTCATGCTCCAGTTCCCATTGGAAGTGATCTGAGAGCTCTCGCTTGATGGCCAAGACACAATCGTACGGACTTTGAATGAAAACCTTTAGACCCGCACTAGCAGCATTGGGGTGTGCCTGCGGTTGGCGCCTCATAGATGTTACACTAGCAGCGTTCCCGGCGCTGGCCGACGACATGGATGGCGCTCTGGAGGGCGGCTTGTCAGAGCCGATTTGGAGGTTCATTACGCTGGCCCCCGAGCTGAATATGCGCGCTGCACTAGCACCGACATCCCATATTCCTCCGCCAATAGCTTCCAATGCGCTTCTCTGGGCCGGAGTCATTACCTTGGGGTGTGGCACGTATAGCGTGCCCAAATGGTAGTCGGCTGCTGAGAGGCTCTCGTATCTGCTGACGGTCAAAGAATCGACTTCGACCTCGTCCGACGTCGCAGCATCTATAAGTTTGAGTTCCGGGGAGAGGCCATTTGTGCGACGCTGTCTTCCTCCCCGAGGAGTTGTGTCTGGTCCAGAGACGGGGTTGTCATCATCGTCGCGCGTCCGGTATGCAAGAACAAGAAGTAAAGAAGGGGTATAGAGCGAAATGCCAGAAACAATACAGTCGTCGAAATGAATGCAGCGGATGACATCGGCGCTCCCGACCGATCTCTCCCCCGCATGGCGGCCGACACCAGCTGCTCCTCCAGGGTGCACGTGAACAATCCAAGCGGTGTCTCCCCATCCTATGATGAGTTTCTCGAAGTTCTTCTTGGGCCCTGCCTTGGTAGGCTGCGCAGATCGGTTATGCGGGAGCGTGGCATCCGCCTTGTCTGCAAGATGGTGGCCGTTCATACTCATAATAGCATCATCGTCCGACTCGAGCGACTGGTCGTCTATCCATTCTATTCGCGCCTTCCACACGCTGGCCATGTCTTGCCAAATGCGGCGGTTTGGCTTTTCAACAATGCCGATCCTCTTCCAGGCGTCCTCCGAGTCGGCGCTGTCCAGGTGCAGGTCCGTCCGCATGAGGCGGACACCATGTTCATTCGACCATGCCACGTACCTGCCAGAAAGCGACCACTTGATGGCAGTAATGGTGCCTTCTCCAGAGTGCAGGATGGTATCCCGGCCTCCGTGTCCGCCAAGACCTATTGCTCCCAGCCAGCCGTGTGCCGCCTGCGATGCCGCACTGGTGTTGGCATTGGACCGCACGCCGATTGGGCCTCCGACGGTGTGGATCAGCTCGCCAGCCAGCCCTCCAGACAGGTACGAGCGGTCGTTCTTGTAGTCGGGCGAGAGAGCGACCGCTTGCACCGGACGGCCAAAGTTGCGCAGGGTGACGTCCTTGGGGTCGACGAGCGACGACACGCAGACATGGCCGTCGATAGAAGACGAAGCAATGTAGATCTGGTTCGAGGGCGTGTTTGGCACCTGGGCTTGGCGCGGCGTGCGAGGAGAAGCGTTGCCGGCTGGCGAGTCGGTCCGGCGCGAGGATGCGGTCGTCTGGTCGGCGGACCTCAGATCCGAGGCGGAGGGCACAAAGGGCTGCGAGGCGAGGAGCGGCGACACGGAGAGGGAGGTGACTGAGGCGGCGGGATGGGCATTGTAGGTGCGCAGGATCTGGAATGCGGGAATGCTGAAGGCGTGCTGGGCGGGTTAGCACTGGCGGCGCAGAGAGCGGGGCGAGACTCACGATGTTGCCATTGTGGGTGCCGACAATCTGCGTAGACTGCTTAGCATGTGTCCGGCGGCGAGCGATACATACTCGGTGGAGGCACTGGGAGAGAGAGAGAGAGAGAGAGAGAGCATGGAGCTATGACCGTACCATCTTGTCGCCCGCGACGACAAAGGTGGCGGTCGCGTCGCCATTCCGGTAGACGGGGCCCAGGTCGCGCGTGAGGCGACTGTACTTGAGCTTGGGCTCCTCGTCCATGTCGTCGTCGTCGTCGCCGTCGCCGTCGGGCTCGACGGCCGTGTTGTTTCGCTCGTCGCTGGCTGCGGGCTGCGGACCGCCGTCGTCGTCATGATGGTCGCGCGCCGGCGTGCGCAGAGGCTCGTCGTCGGTGTTTTCCGCAGCCATGCTGGCGGCATGCGCTGCGGCAGGCGTGGCAGAGGCGTAGAAGACGCTCCGGGCGCGCGGGCGTGGTGGGCGGTGGGCGGTGATGCTCTGTAGATGCTATGATGCATATGCATGCTATGCTATGCTGGCCAAGGCGATTCCCGCGGACTTGCAGGGGCCCATGCTCTTCTCCTCCGCACCGCTCCACCCACCCACGCCCGCCCGCCCGCCAGAACCACGCCATATGTCGATGCTCCGCCTGCCCGCCCGCCCAGCGCTGGAAACTATGCCCGACACGCTGCTCCTGCGCGGCCCATGACGAGTATGCGACCCTCTGTCCTCCATGGCCTGCCACGACGCCTGGCTGTCGCTGCCGCCCGCCTGCCGCCCGCCCCTGCAAAAAGGCCGTTCTCGTCGGCCTCAGCACACTGGCGGAAAATAGACTTTGATGCTGCGCCAGCCGCCAAAGACGAGCCCCCAAAGGAGCCCCCGGAAAAGGCGAGCCGCAAGCCTGGCCGCAAGAATGCCTCCAAGACATCGTCGCTGCGCAGCGTGGCCGTCGAAGCGCAGAGGTCCAGGGCCCTGATCAAGTCGAGGGGACGGACGCGCTTCATCGACCCAGATGCCCAGACCAAGACGGTGACCGCATACTGCGCCGCCGAGACGTACGACATTGCTGCTGCCGCCCGCCTCGTCAAGGAGCAGGGCTACGAGCTCGACCCGTTCCAAACAGGCCTCTATCCCCAGGTCATCCACGTGCAGACGTCAGACCGGCCCTCCGAAGTCAAGGACTTCCAGCAGAGCGACATCTTCATCTTCCCCTCGGGCACAGTCGTCACATGGAACGTCCGCGACCGCGAGGCCCTCAAGCTCGTCAACCAAGTGCTGCCCGCCGCCGCCGAGGACTCGCACCTGCATCTCCTCGAGACCGAAGACCTCGACTACCTCGAGGACCCCAGCAAGGAAACGAGCGAAGTCGTCGGCGACACCATTGTGCTAGGCACAAAAGTCGAGACGCCCTCAGACAATGCGTCGTCACTTCAGGCCGAGGAGCCCGACCAACAGCGCCACGAGGTCGACACGGTCCTCGCCAAAATCGCCTTCTCGTCTGGCCTGGCCCGCAGCACCAAGCTCGCCGTCCTCGAAACCCTCTTGTCCGCCTACCAGCATTCCACCCGCGACATCCCCACCATGCTGGCCGCCTCCAAGCCCTTTTCGCCCCGCCGCAGCGCCCCGTTTACGCGCTCCTTCATCCTGCGCAAGACGGGCGAGTTGCTTTCGCTGCGCGCCCAGCTCAACCTCTACTCGGAGCTGACCGACTCCATGCCCGACATCTTCTGGGACTCGCGCCACGAGCTGGGGCTCGGCGAGTACTACGACCAAGTCGGCCGCGCCCTCGACGTCGGCGTCCGCATCAAGGTGCTCAACGAGAAGATTGGCTTCGCTCAGGAAATCGCAAGTGTATTGCGGGAGCAGCTGAGCGAGAAGCACGGCCTGAGGCTCGAATGGGCCATTATCGCCCTCATTGCTGTCGAGGTCGTGCTTGAGTTCTATCGCCACTGGGATGAGCGCAAGGACAGGGATGATCCCGAGAGTACAGAGGCCCTGCTGCGAAGGTACCTTGAGGAGTTGGCTCAGGAAAAGAGAGCACGGCTTACAACCGAGTAAAATCAACAATAATCTACACAAAAAAAATTTGATACCCCACTCAATCAGAGAATATACTACTTTTGAACACACTTTGCACACATACAAAAGAAATCGTCTTGATGCTACAGACCATAGAGCGATACATGAGCTCATCTATTTACAAAGCTTGCTTCTCTATTGGTCGTCAATGACGTGCAGGTACTTCTTCTCTTCCCTCTTCTCCTTCTCGCTCATCGGCGGGAGGTCGTAGTAACTCGAGCTGCGGTATCCCTTGAGGTACTCAAACGTCAAGCTCTTCAGCTCCGCCGGCTCAATCTCCAAGTCCTTGAACGTCTTGGCGTGCTTGTCCACCACTTGGTCAATGAATTCCCGCTCAACCTCGTCGGCTGAGTGGATCGGCCACCAGAGCAGTTTGTTTGCGTAGTACGCAAGGGGCTTGAGCAGCCGCTTGGGCACATTGACATGGCGACGCGGCTTCATTGTCTCCTTCTCCACAAGCTCGTTGAGCTCGGCCATTGAGTACTCGGTGGGGCCGTACAGTTCATACGTCTCGGCTGCCGTCGTGTCGTCGTGGAGCATACGCTCAAGCGCCATGCCAACGTCGATGACGTGCACGGGACGGATACGCTCCTGCAGATGGTTGGCCGTGATGATGTTCGTAGGCGAAGCAAGACGGTGGAGAAGGCGGTCCTCGTATCCAAACATGGGCGCAGGGCGGACAATGGTCGTCTCGGGGTAGATGGACCGCGCTACCTGCTCACCCCTAGCCTTGGTGCGGTAGAACTCGGATGGCGAGTTGAGTTGCGCGCTGTGCGACGAGACTTGGACGAATCGGTCAATATCGTACTTGGCAACAGCATCCACGATACGCTCAGTTCCATGGACGTGTACATCCTCCAGGCTAAAGTTCTTGGTGGGGTAATCGCGGCCAATAAGATTGTAGACAATGTCAGAGTGTCGCACGCTCTCCTCAATAGACGCCGTGTTTCGGAGATCCATTTCGATGAAGATGATCCTGCCCAGATCTCCAGTAACCTTCAAGTGACGCTTGGCCATATCCTCCCGGAAAGGCACGATGACGGTGCATCCCGAACGAGCTGTTCCCTCTGGTTAGCGCGACATGGCCCCCGAATGTTTTGGTCTCCTTTTGGCAGGCATCGTTTCGTACCCAGTCTGTTCACAAGGTATCGGCCCAAGAACCCAGTGGCTCCAAAGACGGTCGCCGTGTATCCTGCGTGTATGTGAGCAGGTCGTCTAGTATGCGGCCCCGGGTCGCAGCGCACCTCCGAGCGAGGATCGTCCACCGGAAACAGTCAGAATGGGCTTGCCAGTCCTAGCCACATGTCAGCAAGTCGCTCTGCGCGCGGGGCCGAACGGTATATCGCACCTGGTTATCCTGACATCCGAGTTGAGCTGCTGCCGGCAAACGGAGGTGGAGAAGTTGGCTACGCGCTTCATGGGCAATTGGGCCGACAGCGCCGCTGACGACCGAGCGCAGCGGAGTGGCAGCATGGTTGCGGCGTTCAATGGCTGCTGAGATGTCGGAATGAGCTTCTGGCGAAGTAGCTGGGACGAGAGGACGTCGGTGGTGCTGGGGCTTGGCGCCATGCGCTAATCGTAGCTTCCGCCGCAACGCCATTCGAGCAACGCATCCCGCCCTCACTCAAACATACACGCCGCCGCCGCTCTCGTGCTCCCAACACAACCCCCACCGCTCTTTGGACCGGCTCACCACACGTCCACACTTATACATCACTGCACATCACCTACAGCCATGGCCATGGACACAGATGCCATCCCGAACCTCTTGGGCGACGCGCGGGACGAGGCACCGGAGGAGCTGCAGGAATACTTCATCGCCTTTGAAGACTTCTGGGAGCGAAAGTTGTGGCATGAGTTGACCGACAAGCTCATCGAGTTCTTCGACCATCCCGGCAGCGCAAAACAGCGGATACCCTTCTTCGAGAACTTCATCAAGAGCTTCGCCAACAAGATCAACCAGCTCAAGCTCGTCACCTTGGGGCTGAACGCAGCATCACAGTATCAGGGTAGGTGAACCAATGCCAGCTGGTAGATTACAGGTGCTGACTTTGATAGACGACAAGGAGCGCCTCACATTCGTCAACGAGCTCGCAAAGAGCGTCAACAAGCCAGCCTCACAAGACGCCTACGTCTACGCCACAGTCGCTGCCGCCAGCATACAGCTACGGTTACGGGACGAGGAGGGTGCAAAGAAGAAGCTCGACGAGTGTGAGCAGATAATTGACCAGTTCGACTCAGTCGAGACCGTCGTCCATGCGTCATTCTACCGTGCGAGCGCCGAATACTACAAGTCGAAGCACGAGTTCGCCGCATACTACAAGAATGCCCTGCTGTTCCTCGCCTGTGTCGATCTGAACGATCTCGAACTCCGTGAGCGCCAGTCTCGCGCCTACGACCTGAGCATCGCCGCGCTGGTCTCAGACTCCATCTACAACTTTGGAGAGCTGCTACTACACCCCATCCTCGACTCCCTGGTCAACACCCCACACGCATGGCTGCGCGATCTTCTGTTCGCCTTCAACAGGGGTGACCTGATGGCGTACGACGTTCTGTCGAATAACATTACCAAGGTCCCGCTTCTCAAGGAGCACCAGACATTCCTCTACCAGAAGATCTCGCTCTCGGCCCTGACAGAGACCGTCTTCCGCCGCCCACCACACGACCGCGCCATGACGTTTTCCGAAATCTCGCAAGAGACCAAGGTTCAACCCAACGAGATTGAGCATTTGATCATGAAGGCGCTCAGCTTGGGTCTGCTCAAGGGCCAGATTGACCAGGTCGCGGAGATTGCGCGCATCAACTGGGTTCAACCCAAGGTGCTGGATATGAAGCAGATTGAGGGCATGAGGCAACGACTCAAAGAGTGGGATGCCAGCGTCAACCAGCTAGGCAACTGGATCGAGGGTGTAGGCAAAGACGTGTGGGCCGCTTAAGCGGGGATGCCCAGCTGAAATGGCCTTGAAAATAGAGGGGCAGTCTTGAGCCTGCAGAGCCAGGCTCCATACTATGTAATCATAGAGAATCGCCGTCGTAGTCTGACACGGTTGACACGGCTGACGAACGAACGGACTCATTCATGACACCAATTTTTTTTTGGATATTTTTATTTTTGACACCATATTTGTGATGTTTTGCTACATAGCTTACATGATCAGGATTTCTACTATGCAATTCGCTTTTTACTCGATTTACACACACATATATATATCCCCCGTCTCCTCATTACTTACTCCCACATACCCGTCGAAACAACAATAGCGCCAACAAGCCATGCAGGGAACCAAACGAGCCAATACACCACCTGGGTCCACATGCCCCAGACATGCCAGCCAATAGCACTCTGCACCAGGACCTGCATGAGGTCGGCACCGAGGATCTTTGTGCCCGTCTGGACGACCAAGAGGGGGTTGAGCACGGCGAGAATAAGGAGCTGCAGACCCGTGAGTCCGTTATGCGCTGTTTTGCGGACAAAGCTCAGGGGCACGCAGGCGACGCCTACGATGACGCTGAGGGAGAAATTGAGCGTGGCAAGCGCGGCGAGAACCATGCCGAGGAGGAGCAGGGAGAAGCATTGGAGGAGACATAGGGCCTGCGGCGTGAGGATCTCGGGGGCAGACCAGTACACGAGAAAGGTGACGGCGACGGGGAAGAGTGTCGTGATGTTGCAGGCCGTGATGAAGAGGCCTGGCAGGTGGTCGCTGTCCCAGTTGCTGAAGAGGTACAGCGGAATCAGACCCAAGGCGTGGGCGGCGAGGACGAGGACAAGAGGGAATAGGAGGTGGCGTTCTGTTACTTTTGTGGACTCTGCAGGGACGACTGCGAGGGAGCCGTCTTTTTGGACGATTTCGGTGGCGGGTTCAGACTTTTTGGCTGTGTCTTGTTTCTTGGCGTCCTCTTCTTTGGGCTCCTCCTTGGCTTCTTCCTTTTCAGGGCCCTTCTTCTCGGTCGGGGCTGGCTTTGCAGGTTTTCCGGCCTGTGGCTTTGTAGCGGCGGGGTTTTCAACCGTGTCTTGGATGCGTCCGCTCTTGACCCACAGTGCCATTGCGGCGATGCTGAAGTTGATGGCAATCATCATGGCCGACGGGAGGTATGTACCAATACTGACAAAGCGCCTGTCTTGCAGTAAGAGGTAGAAGAAGAAGCTCTGGTGGAAGTGCTCGAGGAGGTTGTTCAAGCTGCGGAACAGCGATTCGACAGTCTTTCCAAGCGACATCTCGTCGTGCCAGCCATTGCCAACAGTCACCAGCGTGATGGCATCAACATGGTACGGAATAAACGACGAATGAGGCCCAGTTGCGTGGCCCAGACCTTGCGAAAGCATGCCTCGAAGCATGGTCTGAAGGCGCTCCTTGTACGAGTCGCCATGGTCCCACATGCGCTGAATCACGCATCCAATGCCCAGCTGGCCAGACGCAATTTGGACTGCAGTGTTGAACAAATCAAGGTTGGGAAGCTGGCCGTTGATGCCATCATACACAATATGCAGCTTGTCGTATCGGTGGCCCCATGGACCAGCGGGATAGTCGACAGCAACCGCGCCTTGCAATGCCCCGCTCTTGATCTTCAACCCCTCGACATAGCGCGTGTCGTGTGCCTCGTGGTATGCGTCGACCCAGGCCTGTGATCCGATTGTGCTGTCGCCGGGAATGAGGAAGATGATGTCCTTGCTCCACAGACTCCAGCGCTTGAAGTAGCGCGCCAGCGTGAGAACCAATGCGACGCCGGAGTTGTTCATCTCATCCTCCATGTTGGTCCATGCTCCGATGAGCACAATGGCCTCCGTGGCGTCGGCGCGCGGTCCCTGCAGAATGGCATAGACGTTTTCGTTTGCGATTGTGCGGTTCGAGACCGTATAGTTGTAATGCTGTGTTGCGACCTTGAGGTTCTGTTCGCGGAAAATCGCCTCGAGCTTCGCAGAGCGTCTGGGGGCAGTCAGCCTCGGCGGTCCATCCATCGGGGCAAGTCAACCTACTCTGCAACGGGCCTGTCCTTCAGGGCGTGGACCTCATGGCGGTAGGCGCGAAAGACGTTGTGCTCGCTGCCGGTAAAGTACGTGTGTACCTGGCCGGGAAGAAGGGCGTTCTCCGAGATGTAGGTGCGGCGCGAGTACTCGTTCAGCGGAAGCACCAGCAGCCATCCGATGCCCACGACAATCAGGAGGGCCGAGAGGTAGGGCGGTATCTTGAGCAGGCGCTTATCTTGCCGGAGCGCCAGCAGCGATGCTTGGTCTGTTAGCAATGGGGCTCTGCCTGGTGTTGCGGGTCGCCGTGCTTACAGAGCAGGGCCATGGCGACGTCTCAATGGCGCCTCGTGTGGGAGGGGAGAGGGAGAGGGAGGGGGCAGAAAAGGTGCGTTCGTGTCCTTCGCTCTGCCCAGCATCCCACCGAGTCTGTCTGGGAAGGTGGTCCAGTCGCCGTCCAGTCGCCGTCCAGTCCCAGTCCAGTGCGCGTCCACGGCGGCGGGAGGATCGTCACTAGCGCACCGCGACCCTGTCCATGGACTTGGACTTGTCTTCTGTCTGCTCACCTTCCCGCAGTCGCCGCAGCCTTCTCCCCCACTGCGCCGCTCCGATCATGCCTGCGAGCTCGCTGCCCCAGTTCAATCCCCTGCGCATACGCTCCTATATCCTGCGCCTGCCCTTCTGCACAAAGTTGCTCGTCGCGGCCATTGTCGGCCTATGGGCTGCGGCAATTCCCTTTCCCTGGATTAGGGACGCTGGACGGTTGGAGCCGGCTAAGATGGACCTGACGCAGAGTAGGTATTCCTTTTGGTTCCGGGCATGAGGGTACTGGCCTCAGCCGCCTGTGCTGTCGTGACGGATTGCGGCACCGTCGGAAGCGTGGGACCTAGACATGAGCGCAAGGCACTTACACATCCTACGTCGGAACTACTGGGCCCTACACGGCTTGTAACACGGCGCGGGCTGTTTGCACTAGTTGGAGGCTATGCTAATCAAATGTACGCGTAGTGCACCGACTCAACCTGTTTCCCGTCTTGCACTGGAACTTCCTCCACATGATATTCAACCTCATCGCCGTCACTCCACTTGTTGAGCGCTTCGAGTCGGAATACGGGACACTGGTCACGTTGGCGCTATTCACCGGACGTAAGGAGCACCAGCAGTGGTTTGCATGAGTGGAAGCTGACCCAATGGCAGCATTCGGGACAATACCAGGAGGCATATATACGTTGTTGGAGAAATTCGTTCTGAGGAGCAACACGGCCGTCATGGGCGCGAGGTGTGTACATGGCGCCATTTGAAGGCCGTGATTCAGTACTAACACCGGGTAGCGTATGGGTATTCCTCTTACTAGCGGCCGAAGTCATGAAGACGTCCAAGACAAACCCCTCGTTCAGGTACATCAACCCCTTTCCTACATCCCTCCAATCGCTCATTGTTTGCCAGTGTCGGACCCTACAAGATTCCCACCTGGACCACCCCACTTATCCTCATCGTCTTCACCAGCATCCTCGTCCCATACGTCAGTCTGGTCGGCCATCTCTGCGGTGCAGCTCTCGGGTACCTTTGGGCAACTGGATGGATCAAGTTTCTCGTACCGCACGAGAAGATTCTGAGGTGGATTGAAACAAAACTCAACTTGCTGGGAAGGCTGCCACATTACGTTAGTGTGGATCAGAAGACATATGGACGGTACGGTGTACTGCCAACAACAAGCATCCCCCTAGGCAACAGGAGTCCAGACGGTGGGCAGCGTCTCGGGCCATGATCTACAGAGCAGGTGCCGTGGCTGAAGGTTGGCTTGTTTACCGGCGTTTTGCATCGTGTATGGAGTTCACGCTTTGGAGCGGCGTACAAGGCGTTTCTTGCAAAGGGCTGTTGTAATATACACGACGAGACTTTTGGTGCGGATATACGGGGTCCAGGTGCCATGATACAATAGTAATACTCGCAAAAGTACTTTTTCCTATCACGCCAACCCTCGACCCTCTATTCGCCTGCCTTGCTTCTGCAGGCCTCCCACTAGCTCCAGCCAACCCCTCATCTCGCAGGATATCTCTGCTGCCCCACCTACGCAACCCACACCCACCTTTTCCGTTTCCACATTCTTCAAACGCCGGTGTTTTATGAGTACGCTTACATGATATACCAAAAAATTCCGTTCCCCGTCATGAATCACCAACTCAAGCATAAGCTTGAATCGTCTCGTTGGTGTAGTTGGTTATCACGTGGGTCTCATATCTTCATATATGACTACTAGTTTCTAGTAGATATCCCAAGGCCGCCAGTTCGAGTCTGGCACGGGACAAGTGATTCTTTTTTGCACTTGCATTGGTCGTGAGAAGACCGTTTTTGTGCAATGTGCGATGCGATGCAATGCGGGTATGGACGGGCTTACTTTTTTGGCCTATGCAAAGCATGACCAACACCACACGCATGCAGTGATGATGACGATGACGATGACGATATTTACTGATATGAATTTTTCGCCGCTCCATGCGCAGAATCCAGAGGCGGAGATGCAGTCGTGAAGAAACTCGGAAATCAACCGTTGTGTGCGGAAAGATGAGGGGTGATGTTGTTGTGTCCTCGATTTCCATCTTGCTTGATTTTTTTTCCATTTTTCACTATGTCAAAATTGCGCGCGCCCGTTGCCGTAGGTCAGTATACTTAAGTATACTCCAGTCCATGTTGGGTGGTGGGGCAAACCCCAAACCCCATTTTCTCGTCTCAAAACCAGGTTTTGAGACGCGACACACTACTCAAAGGGGCAACTTTGTCTGGGGGCTGTAGATTGCGGCACTATCAGAGGGGCAGGAAAATAAAAGCCAGATTGTGAGGGGCACACATATGGCGGGGTGTGTGTGCGTGGGTGTGGGTGTGTGGACATGGAGGGGCTGGCCACCGACCGCTGCGTAGAGGGGCAAACGGGCTGGTCGGTCTGGGGAGCCTTCCCCCCCCTGTGGTTGGGAAGGAGGAGGTTTTTTTTCCGACGCCGGTGAGAGTGGAGGTGGTGAAGAACGAACACGAGTGGCGAGGGGGATGTTTTCTCGCTCGAGTTAGTTAGAGATCTTGTTCGATTCGAGGTCTGGATATCCCCCGTGTTACAATGAATGGTACTTTGGTGAACGAGGAGTTGCTTTCGAACATGGTGGCAAGCTAGCTTACTTACTTACACCCCCATGCCCTGCGCACTGATGCGGTGATCCTCATGTTTGTGGTTATCCGCCCCCTTAAATATCTACTCAAGAGAGCCATAGGGTCTTATTTTCCCTTCCTCGTCTCCGGTTTTCGAGCGTGCGAGCGTGGTAGCGCGGTGTTCCGGCTCGGTGGGAAGTGAGCGTGTAAGTGGGCGGGAAAGTCCTCTGTGGGTGGTTGATTACTGTGAAGATTCTGGATTTTCGTTTGGATTCTGGTGTAGGTTGTTTTGGGGTGTAAGGCCAGAGTTAAAGAGCATTGAGCTGGAAGGCATGGGCCCAAGTGAGATGCGAATGGAGAAGCGGTGAAGTACTTTAGGTTGTGGGAGGTGCTGAACCACCGCTATACAGATGAGAGATTGGCAAGAGGAGACTGTGGGAAGAAATATAGTGTTAGTATGTGCAGTAAGCGGATGCAAACGGTACAGTTCAAGACAGTGTTGGCTTTGGATGATAGGGTTGTCAGTCTCGCATCCATACACTGCGATGACGGTTTCCATGCGCATGGTTATAGTTCTTGCGGAACTCGGGTCCTGAGCATATTCTGGTCGCATAGGATGATAGTGATAATAGATTATGATTTATTCTCAGCTCGCAGTATTTAAATCGGAAACTAGACTGCATGTGCACCAGTGGATGAATCGAACAAAACGTGACACTACAGTTTGTGGCTTATGATGGAAAATCGCGATGTTGCATGAATGATGGAAATGAAAAACTGTGGAACCTTTAAAGTCATTATTGAGTTACGGTTACCTGCTCCCAAAAACATTTCTTAGCCTAAACTGACCAGGGTCCTATGATATCAGGCACTTGTAAGAAACCACTGGTCGAATACCGTCCTTTAGTAGTTGAATACTCTTCATTCTCTATGTCTCCCAGACGAGGATCTTCTCAGAATACTATTTATTGTATTCAAGGAATGACGTTCGTCCAACTGCTGGCCACAAGTAGTCGTTATAGATGAAGCAATTTCCAGGTGCCCATCACTATCCGTACAACACCGCTTAACTATCCAAAATACGTTTCAACTACATTCCCTCCTTCCTTGGCAGACACTGTCACTACCTTGGATTAGCTGCAATGTACCTATTTTCATATGTAGCGCTGGAGGCCTGACATTTAATGACCTGGTCCAAATTACCCGCTGTTCCTGCAGAAACGAGGCCCCCAAAACATCTTGAATGGCGGTGCTCACTCGCTACCGTTCAGTTTTCTCAATGCCTAGCCTGTGCCGTGTTAGCCGTGGACATGGTTCGACTTTGTGTGTATGCCTCCTTATGCCCATCCTTAGTTACTAGCCATGTATTTATGGATTGGTTTCTCTTGGTTCCTTCCTTTCTAGCCACAAGTGCAGATACCGCATGCGCCCTGTGGCGGCGCAGCCTTGTACTTTAGATACACAGCCCATGTACTCTTTTGTATGCCACCACTTACCTTTAACTCCATTAATCGAAGCATTGATGATCGCTTTTACGATATTCACACCTCAGATACCATGAGATCCAGCACACTCTCTGTCGTTGCCCTCGGAGGACTTGTATCTGCTCAATACGATGTTGACCCAAACGATGTGAACAATGCCGTCGCCAACATCTCATCTTGCCAGAGCATCACCTGCAACATGCCCTTTGACACCATCTGCACAAAAAATTCCGAACCAGGAACGGCCTCCACTGTGGGCATCGTAGCCGACGCGATCACAGTTAGCCCAAGCGAAGCATCAATCGCAAACCTTTCGTTCACACTCGTCACAGGGATGAGTGATCCAGGTTACAAAAGTCTTGCAAGCGATCAGTACGAATTTGCCGATGCACAGCTTTTCGTGGGTCTCAGCCGCAGCCTCAAGACAGACTACTACCCAACGGGCTGCGCCTTGATGCTGCAGTACCAGGGGCAGACGTTCCCACTAGAGCAGTACCCAGGCAATGTCACGAGGACATCCGAAGCTCAGAACACGACTTCTTGCGAGGGCATCCTGCACCCCCGCTGCCAAGCGGCACTCGCCGAGATGATTCTGAGATTCCAGCCTACATCATCGCCTGATCCGGACTCTTCACACGAGGCTTCCAGCAACTGCACACAACTGACCACGTACTTGAACACGCAACTGACAAATAGCCGCGGTACGTGTGGACAAGGGTTTGGAACATGGCTTGCAAGCTCGATCAAAGTCAGCGGCGGATCTTTACCTTCACCCGTATCCTTGGACGACGCGCTCTCGAATTCCCTCGGCGGCGACGGATGCTATCCCGTATTACCTGAGGACTACCGACTCTTCAAGGTTGCAGAGACAAGACATGTTTACTATACCGATCCGCCCACCGCCGACGCAGCCTTCTACAGCAAGACCGACGCCTTCTACAGCAAGACCGACGCCGGTCTGTCGGGCTGGACTCCAGTCATTACTCTCTGGAACGACGAGGGTGGGGACTGGAATGTTAGAGAAGCCACGATCCAGTTCACGTGCTTGAGCACGCTTAAGACGAATGGCGAGAAACCGGAAAGTCCGTATGAGCATAGCAGCGATTCCGGTGCTTCGTCCATATGGAGGCGCTCTGCCTCGTATGTTTTTGCGTCATGGCTGGTGGGATTCTGGCTTGTCAAAATGATTATGAGTGGTGGGTATTGATGATCAGGGTGTTGATGATTAGGGTGTGTGCGTTATGGGAGAGACTACATAGTGTAAATTACGACTTACTTATTGTCTACATTGGAACCACTGTAGAACAAGTACGGCTAGACCAAGCACTGGTGTACTACTGTAGTTATAGTTACACTAACCGAACATGCCATATACACAACAACAACAACAACAAGAAAAGCCATTAATCGTCTTGCAAACCCGCAATGAGGGGTTAACCACCAAAACTACATGAGTAAGTACCCCGTACTTACGCGCCAAGTAGCATTGATCAGACCAATCCACCCACTCATCCACAAAACGCTCATTACCCTTATTTCCCCCATGCAGCAATGTATGAATAAGCTCAAAAGCCGCACAGTACGTATCCGACTCCATTGCCCACCTTGCTCGTACTCCTTATCAAGCAAAGACCCCCATAATCCGGCCGATCCCCATGTCCGCCAGGTTCCAGTATCTCGCTAAGTACTAGAACGGGCGCCAAGTACTTACGTACTTATATCCGACGGCATCCGGGACGTACGAAGAAGCACGGAGCTGAGTTCCGCACGAGAGATGGCAGTACAGGGCGGGGGGGGGGGGGTGTACGTGGTAATGCCGGCGCTGTGGGTACTTGGCATCGGTAATAGCGGAGTTTAGTTTACTTGGTGGACCAGAATGGTGTTGTTCTTGCTTGCCTGACCGGACTTGGGAGCTGAAAAAGGCGAGCATGTGTAATGGCAGCCTGGAGAAGGAAGGACAAAGAGAGTATATATATGTTGAGGCTGCAATACTGTGTTCAGCATTGACTGGGTATATCTATTGATATCAAGGGACATTTCTCCATTGATACTCTTGCAACACACACACACACATAATTATCTACCAATTCCATTACCACATCCACCACAATGGCCTCACCCCTCCCATACAACCGACAAAACGCACTTGCATCGAGCATCGCGGCCGACAACGCCTCCAGCATAGCCGCCAAGATAGTGCTCACAACGGGCGTAACCCAAGGCGGACTGGGCGCCACATTTGTCGAGGAAATCGCAAAGCATGGTCCCCAACTGATTATCCTTGCCGGGCGGTCCCCCGCAAAAGTACAAGCCACAGCCGACAAGATCAAAGCGGATCCCGCGAGCGCAAACGTGCAGGTGCGCGTGCTGACGCTCGATCTCGCGTCGCAGAAGCAGATCCGCGAGGCGGCCAAAGAGGTCCTGGAGTACCGGGAGGACCGCATCGATGTGCTTGTCAATTCGGCGGGGACAATGGGCGGGGAATACCGGACGACGCCCGAGGGGATCGAGCACCACTTTGGCGCCAACCACGTTGGTCATTTCCTGTTTACCAATCTCATCATGCCCAAGCTGCTTGCGGCGCCGGCACCGCGAATTGTCAATGTGTCGAGCGATGGGCATCGCATGAGCGGGGTACGTTTTGAAGATCCGAATTCCCAGGATGGCCGCGTGTACGATAAATGGGAGGCGTACGGGCAGAGCAAGACGGCGAACATCTTGTTTACGAATGCGCTGGTTGACAAGCTGGGGCACAGGGGGTTGAGGGCGTATGCTTTGCATCCGGGTCAAACCCTCGGCACGTCGCTTGCAGTGAGCTTTACCGACGAGGATATGGCGGCGTTGAGTATGCTTCCCATGGCAAGTTTCTGGTTCGGACAACTGCTAACAGAAGTGTAGAAGTCAAGGACAAGGAGATTGGGTGGACGCGTGAGTTTGATATCAAGTCGCTCGACGAATGTGCTGCTACGCACGTTGTAGCGGCTTTTGATCCGAGGCTGGATGACCACAACGGTGCTTATCTGCACGATGGAAATATAGCGCCAGAGGAGGTGCGGCCAACGGCGAAGCAGCCAGGCGACGGTGAGAAGCTGTGGAAGCTGAGCGAGAAGCTCGTTGGACAAGAGTTCGCCTACTGAGAAGAGGATTAATTTCCAGATGTATTAATGTGACTGGGTATCTTCAAGCACGCCCAAACGCCGTTCATGACTTGTTCAATGTATTCCGGTCTTCAGGCCCATTTCAAGCATCTCGTAGCCTCGTGCGCATCCTTGCACTCCAGCCCACACACTCTAACGCCACACTTTCTGCACTTGATTTGGCCCCAGTAGCCGCAGTTGTCGCAGAACTGCCTCTGCGGCGGACCACCTGCGGGAGGGGGAGCGGCATGGCTCGCGGCGTACGAAAGCGGCGGTGCAGCAAGCAAGGCTTCTAGCTCGGCAGGGTTGAGTGGCGGCGGCATGAGGTTGTCGACAGAGAGTAGCGCGTCGTCGTCTGCGTTGGTATCGTCGAGCCGCGATGGCGTTTGTGCAATGGGTGCGGGCCCTGGCGTTGCATCTATCGGAGTCGCAGGCACAGAGACAAGCATGCTCTGCTTCCTCGAGGCTTGTCTCGCGCCTGTTGCTTGAGGCGCATTTCCTCTGGCGGCCGTCGTGACGAGTCCCAGCTGTGCCTCTTCATCGTCGAGCCAATGCTTGATCTGGCGCTGGTACTGTATGATTCTCCTCGCGTTCTGCGTCTTGGGCACGCTGGGCTTTCCGGGAATCGCAATGGCCTGTTTAGGGTCGTTGTCGCGTTCGAGCTCTGCTATGCGCCGCGCTATCGCAGTCTGCTGGCGAGCCGAAAGCTCATTCTCGGCGCGTTGACCGCCTGGCGGTGCGGTGGCGGCGGCGCGCTTCTTGTTCTTGGGGTTGATGGCGACTTTGGAGGGATCATAGCCGGTATCAACCACATAGGTCCATCCTGGAGCAACCGTGGCGGCCGAGTTGGGAAGCACTTCGACGTGTGGCATGGTGGGGGTGGAGTGTAGAAGTTGATGTTGCGGGGAGTGGGAGAGGTAGGAATTATCAATCACATCTAGATTAATAAAAGAACGAAACGAACTCGCCATCTACCAGCCTGCACAGCCTGAAACCTACATGAAAAGAAACCTTGGAACGTCCTATAACTTATTTTCAACTTGAAATAGCTATATAGACCTTGTTGTGGCTGCAAAGGGGGGGGTAAAGCTGTTGTTTTCTGTCCGTGCGCTCGAGAACAACGCTGCGCACAGACATTTTAGACCGGGGTAACATTTATCCGTACCGTACTTATCTAAAAGCCTCCATACAATGCCCAAACAATGGAGCAGTGGCCCACACCCCTAACATTTATCTGTACCGTACTGATCTAAAAGCGGTGGCCCACACCCCTGGCATGCTAAGGTAATAGCGCGCCAACGTTGAGATTTGTCCGTACCTGCATGCGGGGTGCATAAGTATAAGATTCCCTCTTGGGCCTAACTCCTCTTCTGTGTCATGTGCCATCTTGGAATATCCGTCGCCATCTCTCATGATTTCTCGTGGTCTTCTACTCGCTTGGCTAGGTATGACATTACCGGGCAACGCATCAACCTATTAATCACTCGCTATTCGCCCAATACCTTTTGAATATTGCATCATGTCGCCTGAAAGAAAGCCACCCATAGTCATCCCAGCCGCAAAGTCTAGCGATGCTGCAAAATCCTCGGCCATCATCTTCATCCACGGCTTTGGCGATGATGCAGCGGGCATAGAAAATATCGCGCATCAATTCCAGTCTGCTGGAAAACTGCCGCGGATGAAATGGATCCTTCCCAATGCCCTTGAGAATCACGAGCTCGCTTCAACAGCATGGTTCTTCCCTACCTCCCTATCACCGGTCCCCTCTTCACGCCCGGAACTCGAAGAACCCCCAGACGAAGAGGGCATCATGGACTCGGTAGCCTATATTACTGCTTTGATTGATGATTTGGTTGCGCAAGGCGTGCCGGAGAAGAGAATCATTGTAGGCGGCTTCTCACAGGGTCATGCTATTGCCTTCTTGACTGGTCTTGTATCGAAATATGCAGGGAAACTAGGAGGACTGGTCGGGCTGTCTGGTTTCCTTCCATTATCGGACCGCATATCAGTGCTGAGGGAGGAGGCAGGTTTGCCCAAGGAGATGAGTGAAGAAACAGAGGTAGTCTTAGCGAGGGGAACGGGTGACAGATTGGTGCCCGCGCGGTATCATCGGCTATGCTATGAGCGGCTCTTGCAGCTTGGAATTAAAGAGGAAAACATAACGACCAGAGAGTACCAAGGCATGGGCCATTCCATGGTCGGCACAGAGCTCAGGGACTTGTGTGCGTGGCTGGAAAAGGTGGTACCTGACATCGATTGAAGCTGGGAGATGCTTGAATATGCTATGAATCTTCCTGCTCCAACTCGAAATCAAAATCTCCAAAATACACACATAGAGCCTGGCGTTGTTAGTGATTGTCCAAGACCACAAAATTGTCCTCGCATACCTTGCTAGCGCCCATCATAGCATAGTGAGCCACCTCGAGCTTCTTTCCATCGTGGCCATACCTAGCAATCTGATTGAGATCCGACGTCCTCGGCAGGTACAATACGACTTCCTTGCTGATTTTCGTAAAACTCTTGTAGAGCTTGTCGAGATTATAAGGCTCCATCTTGGTAAGGTCGAAGACATTGTCCGCCCCGTACTCTGTCCCTGTGGCCATCAGCATTGCAAACCAGCAAGCACAACAGCCTGGCAATACGAACCTCCCCAAGGCGGGCTAGCAAAGACCACGACGTTCTTCTGGCCCGCGAACCGGTTTACAGCATCGAAGCAGTCTGCATTGAGCCAGAAGATCTTGTTGCTCACGCCATAGATTTCGGCATTGTGCTTTGCGCATTTGAGCGTTTGGGCGTCCTTTTCAATCGCAAAGACGCGTTCCCAGCGCCCAGAACGCGCCAGCGCTATAGCATTACCACCTACGCCCGCAAACGCGTCGACAATAACCGTCTTCTCTTTTGGCGCCGACTCTGCAATGTGCGCGGCAATCTTATTTGCAATGGGTTCTGGAGTCACGCCAAACCACGCGTCCTCGGTCATCCACACACCCTGGTCATATTTCTCCCAGATCTTGAAGCGCTGGAACCAGTATCTGCCAGGTGATTAATAAGGATTTGCGAGGGTTAAAACATGTTGAAATGTGGGTTTCAGAGGGAGCAAAAAAAAAAAAACGTCTCTTCCATACTTCTTCAGGTGTTCTGGGAATTCGTCGACACAGGACCAATGGTCCACGCCATTTTCATCCGGAGTTCCGCTCATCGTTATGCCTACTTTGAACTCGCCTGAGCAACCTTGAAATATACAGCAGTAAACCGTGACTTGGAATTCGAGGATGTGATGGGACATTGAGCCAAGTACGACAGTAGTGCCATGGTAAGAGCCAGGCAGTCGTGAGCCGCCATGCCGCATCGAGACTAGCCCAGCAGCCAGCACGATTCCCTTGCTCCGAGTCAAGCCACATGTTATATCGAACAACACACTCTTTCTCCAACACCGCATCCCACGCCCCCATCGCCGTCCCCAAAAGACCAGGTCAAGCAACCACCACCACCCGCATTCGAACATGTCCATGTTCGGCGCCCTCAACCGCTTTATATCGCGGCTCGACGCCGCGCCTCTCAACGACAACCACAATCACCACCAGTCGTCGACCAACGGCGCATACGGCTTCCAGGTGCTGCGCAACAGCAACGCGGAAATCCCGCTCGAGCCCTGGTTTGACTACATCATTGGCATCAACGGCCGCACGATTGTGAGTTATTTTTTGTGTTTACTTTGTTTTGTTTTGAGAGCGCCGTTTGCGGGGAGGGGGGGGGAGAGCGCAACACGTAGGCCAAAGACTGAAATGAGAATGTGCGGGTAAAGGGGCGAGGGGGGGGAAAAAAGGAAGGCCAGGCAAAAAAAAACCACAAAAAAAAGAGCAAGGGACAAGCATGGAAGGGAAGCGATATCGACATGGGAATCATGACGTCTACGGGCCGGAAGCAAAAAGCTTTGTTTGAAAGAGATAAAGATATGCTAATTCTAACTTTCTAACCACTGGACAGGACAACCCTGATTCGGGTCTGTTTGCGGCCGAAGTGCGGAATTGCGCTGGATCCACGATTAGCCTGGGTATCTTCAGTGCAAAGGTGAGTTGAGTCGTTTGTCTCGTCTCGTCTCGTCTCGTCTTGTCTCCTGTCTATGCCCCCCTCCCCCGTTCAATTGCATCGCTGGTCGATCGGATTTCCTTCACCAGGGGCTTCACATACGTCATGCTATTTCCGCACGCCCTTTTTTTTCGAGTTCATGCATGACGGTTGGGCAACAACCCGAAAGTTAAAAAAAAAAGAAAAGAAGCATCAACCATTCACACTTGAATTAAAATTTCATTTCATGATTTAAGTTGCAAAGAAGCTGACTTTGGGTTGTTTCAGGGCCAGAAGATACGCGAAGTCTATGTGGAGATTCCAGCCGATCAAGGCGCGCTAGGAATCGCCTTGCAGTGGTCGCCGCTCTCTGTTTCAGAAGATGTCTGGCACATTTTGGATGTAGCTCCCAATTCGCCTGCGGATGCCGCAGGACTTCTGCCTTACGGTGACTATTTGATTGGCAGCCCCGAAGGACTTGTGCGCGGCGAGTCTGGGCTGGGGGAGCTCGTCGACGACTTTCTCAATAGGCCGTTGAGACTCTATGTGTACAACCACGAGTACAACGTCACCCGGCCCGTGACGATTACGCCGACGCGCAGCTGGGGTGGCGAAGGAGCACTAGGTTGTGTGCTTGGGTTTGGAGCGCTGCACCGCATTCCACCTAGCTTGGACGAGCCGCCGCCAGCACCTGGAGAGACATTGTTCTCGGCGGGGGATGCTAGCGGGACTACGTCGTTTGACGAGAAACGACCGTTGGTATCCTCGATGGAAGGACCTGGTCAAGCCGGGGCACCAGCCGAGCTCTTTGTGCCAGCCAACATGGCATTGCCGGCCAAGTCGCCTCCTCCTCCGGGCACAGCACCACCGAGGAAGAAGGGCAGAGCGGCGCATCACGTAGGCAGCCCAGCCAGCGGGGGCGGGGGCGGGGGCGTGCTCGACGACTACTTCAAAGAAGGCGAGCAGAAGAGCCTAGAGCAGGACTATGCGCCCAAAAGAGGCAGCGGTGTGCCTCCTCCGCCCAAAACCGGTGGCCCGCCCAGAGGGCCGCCCAAAAGTGGCGGTGCAAGCAGATCAGGCACGCCCTTGCAAAGCGGCGGTGAAGCTGACACGGATGCTTCTGGAGGTGTAGGGCATGCAGAAACGGCTTGAGTAAACTACTAGGTACATGAAAATGTTAGCACATGACGAGTCGAGCAAGTCGTCGATGCAAAGATGCAAACGTACCTTTTTACGTAACCATTTCGGTCTCTCTCCAGCTTTCCCATACACACTCTCTGTCTCTTTCTCATACATACACACACACTCTCTCTCTCTGTGTGTGTGTATCTGTCTCACTGTCTCTCAGCACATAACTATGTGCATCTACTCATCAGCCTCGAAATCTAGTTCCTCGCGAAACCGACTGGTGCGCCTCTGCTTCTTGTCGTCGAAGCTGACATTGCTCCCGTGACTGGCCTGAGTCATGAAGGAGTCGAGTCGGTCCTGGCCCGCGGGTCGCGCAGCCGACGCCGACGACACGGACGCCGATCGAAGCGCGCTAGAAGCTGCACTGACGCTGCTTCTGCTGCCAGTACCGCTACTGCTACTGCTGCTGCTGCTGCTGCTTTCCTTGCGGCCTGTCACGCGCTCAAATGATGACGGCGACACGGGCGAGCCTTCGGGCGTCGAGTCTGGTGTTGACGAGGCCGAGAGCGACGTCTTGAGTCTGGTGGTGAGACTGCGGAAGATGGGCATGTTGGATGATTGTTGTTGTTGTCGTTTAGTCGTAGTTTGAACACTATGGCTGGAGTGAATCCGTAGTTTGCCGAGTTTCCAGGAGAACCGAAAAAAAGGTGTAGATTATACTAATTCGCGGGGAAATAGTATGTAGTAGCCGTTTCTTTTTCTTGATTTTTCAATTTCCTTTTTTCCCTTGGTGAAATAGTTGGGTTGATTGGCTGGCTCGTTGGTCCGCTCGTTCGCTTCTCACGTCGTCGGTAACCCGCAGTAATAGCAATATACGCGTTCCCCTCTACCCGTGTTCATGTATCTGCAACCCGCCACACGAAAAAGCAAAAGAAACCACAACCGCCAATATCTATGCGGGATTTGGAGGCGCAGGCTTTTTTGGACTGAGCGTGTTTCAAGTGGGTCCCAAAGAAGGGGGGGCGTGGGTGTGAGTGTGTGTGGGGGCAGATTGAACGGAACAGCAAAGATGAAGGCCGACCGACACAGCGTTTGTGACAGATTTGAAATTTTGCTCCGGGGGAGGCGAGGGAGGGAAGGCCGGGGATGCCACCAATTATATGCGTCCTCCTCTCTCTGTATGTGTCTCTCTTATTCTCGGCGAGCCTCTCTACTCCGTCTCTCTATCTCTTGCTGTTTTTTTTCCCTCGCTTACACGGGATATTCTGGAGGCGTATATGCGTGATAACCCGAGTCTTACGGGCCGTGCAGGGTGGGAGATAAAAATAGACGTGGGAACAACGGGACAGAGTTGTGCAGATGGGGCCAACGGAGCGGGTTGCTTTGCTTATATCCTGGTTGCTGCTGAGAAAGCGGAAAGGTACGTATGTGCCTATGTGACTATGTACGGATATATCTGTAAAAAAGGCGCGCGTGTGGTAGATACGGTAAGTACAGGGGTGGGTAGGTGGTGGTCGCGGTCGCGGTCGCGGTCGGGAGCGGTTGAGTTTTGGCATGGGGAAAATCCCTTTTTTTTTGGGGGGGGGGGCTTCAAACTAAACTAACCCACCTTACTACCTATCACCACGACTACCGACGACTAACTACTGCACGTGTTTATTGACAGGTGCAGTGTGTGTGTGAGTGAGAGAGAGAGAGAGAGAGAGTGCGTGTGTGTGTGTAAGTGTCCCCGGGACTTTGCGCGCGACTTGCGGCCGGCGCCTTTTTCTCTTTGGCTCGTCTCGATGGCATATGCGCATGAATGGGTGCCAGCCTGCGTTACTCGCTGCGGAAATAGTCTAAAGTGGCGCCGCCGCCGCCCCCCTGCCGCAGGGACCCGCTACAGCCGTGGATTGCCAGCCATATGCATGTCCATGTATGTGGGTGTGGACATGTGTATCTCTTTGGAGGGCTCGACGCTTGAACGTGGCCCCTCCCCCCTGACGTACGCCCCAAATTAGGCATGTGTTCTTGTGCTTTGGACAGAGAGAGGAGGGGGGGGAGGCGGGTGTTTGCTGGTGGGGGGGATTATGCCAAAGTATTTAGTTTATTCGTGTGCCATGCTTCGCTCCCCTCACACACACATACGTACATATAACCCCCCTCCCCCCACCCCTTTCCTAACGTACAAACTGCTTTCTTTTCTTTCCACGCCTTCTTATCACCTCTCACCACCTCCGCTCTCCCCCGCGTGGATGGTTGTCTAGGCCTAGACCCTATGTAAGATGGTGGAGGTGGCGGCAGCAGCAGGCCCCCCCGCCCAATCAAGGAGCCGTGTCAGTCCGTCTGTGTGCTCTGTATATGGTTCAAAAAAAAATTAAATCATTATTATGAGCGTGTACTTAGGATTCTTCCATTCTCGGTGCCGGTGCTAGGGTTCCCTCCACAAAAAAAAATTAAATAAAGAAGAAGGGCCAGACCCAGACCCAGACCCAGACCCTGCACGCTAAATCCTTACTCTCACTCTGTTCCTGAACCGGCAAAAAAAAAAAAGGTCTTGCGCAACCTCGGGGGACCACGGCGGCGACGGGCGGGCGGGCGTCGGGCGGCGGCACAAGACACAGGCGCACACAGGAGGTCACATGGCTGCTGCTTCTCCGCATTATGCTTTAAACCCCGTTCTAACCGCGTGAACAAGTTGTGTCGCGGACTCGGGGAGGGGCCGTGGCGTCTGCGGTGGCTTGCATGAGCGTGTGAGGGTGTGAGCATGTGAGCTTTGAGCGTAAGTACAAGCGTGAGCCGATGCCGAGAGCGAGTAGAGAAGCAGAAACACACGAGTCACATGTTTTTTTGGCTTTTGGCTTTTGTCAAGCAAGAAATGAATCGGGGGAGCTGCACACCCCTTGGTCGTACATGGATAGTGTAGAAAATACTCGAGAGCGTAGCTGTCTGTACCCGGAGACGCTGCGCTTTCTGCCCGAACGGCCGCGCTATCCTCGTCAAGTGTAGCGATTGGCTGGCGCTGACGCTGGGCACTGGAGGCATTTGGCGCAGGGTCTATTGTCCCCTACTACGTACTTACTATACTTACACCTGCACCAGGGCCTTGGCCTTGGTATTGGCATTAGCATTAGCATTAGCAGCCGAGGCGAGATACAGATGGAGCAAGAGAGTGAGAGAACAAAGGCATCTAGCTTCTCATCCATCTGTGGCCAAACAAGACACCGTCTCCATGTCTCCCCCTCCTCTTCGCAACCACGACCACTTTTCACCGCCATATCTATGTGGCTTTACCAGCCTCCCCCCCCCCATCTTATACTTGCAGCTGTGATTGGAGCGGAGGCATGTTGAAGCGAGAGCAGCGAGAGAGAGAGAGAGAGAAAGAGAGGGGTCCAAGTTGTGAGGGGTGAGCTGCAACACCATGTTTGAACAAAGCAGGAAACATAGACGAGCGCCCACACGGACGAGGAAGACAAAAGTAGCGTCATGCGGCAACCCGAGACACGAACAACGCCAGCGCCAGCGCCAACGCCACAAATGAGGTGTGCTGTGTGAAGCGAGCCAACCAACCAGTCCACTTCTGTCTTTTCTTTTCTTTTTTCTCTCTTCTTTTTGATCGTCCTTTGATACTAATACCGCTACCGCTACGTGTACTCTCCAGCCAGCGCCAGTCAAGTTATCTGGGGTAAGCCAGCCCTCGTCCTCGCCCTCATGCTGATGCTGATGCTGATACCGGTGCTAATGCTAGTGCTAGTGCGGGCTTAACTCTCGCCCAAGTACGAGTACATACGCATATGTCCAAGTGCAGCTCTGAGTGAGTGATTGATGATTGGACAAAGAATATCCTCGCTTTGTTCCCCCAATCAATCCCTTGATCCGCTCTGTCCCGGCGTTTGCAAAGCCGAACCCCCCCCCAAAAGGAACAAGGAACAAAAAGTGCAGCAGTCGGGTCGAGTCGAGTCGGCCAGTCTTGCAAGCTACCAAGTCCGAGTTTGAATTCGAGTGCTTTGGCATTGGCCTTGTTATTTACATACGTACATACGATTAACAATTATTATCGGCGACTTGGACTGGGGGGGGGGGACTAGGTACAGTAAGCCCACTCGTTCATTCATCACACATGCACATGCACATGCACATGCAGCCTGGTCGGTCGGTTGGCTGGTCTCCACTTGGGGGGGGGGAGGGTCCTCCTGGGGTCCATCTCGCCCTGCAACTACTAAATGCCAAGTCAAGACCGCGTCGTCCATCTGCCAAAATAGACATGTGTGCATATTTTTTTTTGCTGACGGCCTATTTTGTTGGTTGTTTTTTCTCAGCACGCCCTACTGAATCAACTAACCAGCCAATCAACCTGGTACATTACTCTCCCACCAACGTACATAGCCGCGGCAACACAGTTTCTCTCTCTTGCTCTCTCGCCCGCTCTGCATTTCTGTCTCCGCGTCTCTCTCTCTCTCTCTCTCTCTCTCTCTCCCGCTCATGCTCATGCTCATGCCGCCCGCCATCAGACAAGCCCGCCACCGACCAGTCTCGCCCCATGTTTTACATGTACGTACATAGTTGGAGCTATTATTAAGCCCCGCCGCCCCCACCAACCGCCAACAGCAAACGTCTGACGTAACCTGTTGTGTGACACCAGACACGGCCACAACTAGCTCCAAACCAAACCATACTTAGTTTCCAAAGTCAACCGCATCTTTGAACTGCCGAGTCGAGAGGGGGGGGCGCCGCAAAACAACAACAACAAACACCGTTTGTGACAAGTTTCCTCATACTGACGTATGCCATGCCATGCCATGCTCCCGTCAACCAAAAAAAAAGAAACGTGCAAACCAACTCACACGCATGCACATGCACATGCCAACCATCCATGTCACTGCAAGCGAACACAATAATCATCCATCAACATGTGCAAATGCTGCACCCAACTTTGCATTTTATTCCTGCACCCTTTTGTTTTTACCAATGCCCACATGTCGTCACTACGACCACGCCTCCATGCTGCTTGCACTTGTGAGCCATGCAACCTTGTCAACCCAAGTGTAATAGTAAACGCCCTTGCTTCCCTTTGTGCTAACGATGCTGGGAAACGTGCCGGGACTAGGCCCAAAAAAAACTATGGAGAACGCCAAAACCAAACGACAAATTGGAAAATCGCCAAAATATATATATAAGAAAAAAGCTACGTAATACTCATCTTATGTCCAGCTGGAACGGCTTGAACTTGGCCCCGATCGTGTTGCATCGTGGACACGTCGGAGCACGCCCGCGACTGTGCTCACTGACCAGTACGTCGACGCACTCCTGGCACAGCCCACAGATGCACTCGGAGCATGCATAGCTGTCGCGCAATATCGACAGCTTCCGGCACGCAGCGCAATAAATTTGCACAGGGAATAGCGAGTTGGGCGAAGAGTCAGACAGTCCTTGCGACGGCAGGTGAAAATTCTGCCCAGACATGGCTGATTCAATCGAAGACTCGACAGAAGGAAACGGCTGCAGGTCCGACATTTCCGGCGGTGGAGGCGTCAAAGCATTGTTCAAGGGGGATGCCGTGTATGACTGCAGTTGTGAAGCAAAGTGAAAGGGCGGCATAGACGTGCGACTGTTCATCATGTGGGGGGAATGGTTGGGCGATTGTGGCATCTGTCGGCATTAGAAGGGAACACGCCCAACGCTGCCGCACTTACTGGTGTCAAGTCTCGGCTGTCTTCTTCAGTTGCTGAAGCAGCCGCATCAATCAAGTCCTCCCACCTCTTACCCATAATGGCAGCCGCTGTTGCAGGCTCAGCCGAGTATGCCTTCCGGTCATAGCTCATCCTCCGGTGGTATTCCTTTGATTTCTGCCGCTCATGTTTCGCTCTACGCGTACTTTGCCCTACCGACGGTTTTCGCGGTCGGTTGGGCTTGAGAGAGTGCGACCCCGGAGGCAGCGTCGACGAGCGCCCCGGAGGCGAGCGCGCGAGCGACGACGGAAGTAGCTCTTGCTGTATCGAGCCCGAAGTATAGTATGGTTCTTCGCTATTGATTTGCTGGTCTACGGGCGTTGGAGCAAAGCGCGCGCGGGGCCTGAAGCTCTTGGTGTCGGCGTCTGATGCCGCATCCTGTTCACAGCAGTCGTTAGCCTCGCCATATGCAGGGCATCCCGCAGCGCGCCTTCTTACCGGATCAGAGTCCCAGTCGTACTCGGCACGATGGTTGTGTAACGACGCCAGGGCTGCTGCAGCCGTCGCGGCGGGCAAGAGTGACGGTCGGCGCCCTTCGTCGGGGCCGCGAACCGGATTGGCGCCGAATTCGGGCTCAAACAAGGAATTGCGTTCATTACTGCCATAGTCGTATGTTTGGGGTGGTGCTGAAGCAGTCGTGGGAGGGGGCGGTGCTCGGTCTTGCGGTGCTGTGTTGACCATCAACATGAAACTCTCCTACAAACAGGACAAGTCAGCACATGCTAGAGCTAGTTTTCTGACTAGCCGTACCTCTGTTGCTGGCAGCTTGGATATGTAATGCTCGGGGTGAGCTCGTCGAATGTGCTCCTGCATGGACCGGAAGCGCTTCTCCTGCACATGGTGTGTTAGCCGGCACCTCTGGCTGGGGGGAGCTAGGGAGCTAGCTACGGCGCTGAGAAGCTATCGTGGAGACTTACGCCGGTGCAGCGCTTCCGGCAAGCTGAGCCGTCATGGTTGCGCAGCGGGCAGACGACGACGTTGTTCTCGTCACTGACGGAGAAGGAGCTGGTGAGCGGTGCTGCGCGCGAAGGAGGCATGGCTGGCTGTAAGCATTAACTGCAGAAGCTCGTCGGCGAAGCAAAAAAAAATGCGCAGGGAGCTCGGCGGCGCGAGCACCAAGCTGTATCAGAGGGCCGCGCAGCTCCAGCCGGCGACAGCGATTACAGCCAGGGCGTGTCGAGTGTCTCTGCGCCCGTCGAGAGAGCTCCGGGGCTGGTGTTGGTGCTGCTACTGTGGATAGAGGTCAGTAACCGGATGCGGGGCAGCTATGGTAAAAAGAGCCGCGGGGCTGGATGGAAGAGACCAGGTAAAAAGGCTTTGGGCGGGAATGGTGGGTGAGCCATGCACAGGCGGCGCGGGCGAGGAATCAATGGTCATGGGCTGGTGCTGCTACAGCTGCTTCTGGTGTTGCAGAGGCAGAGAGAGAGCTGTGTCGCCACGACAAGCTCGACCAAGTGAGCAATCAGACAGCAGAAGCAGGCCGGGATCGTGCCTGAGACGAAAGAACCGGATAGCTTGGAGAGCTTTGTGCTGCCCAATGACCTACTGCGTCCATACAATGGTGCGCGCTCCAATCAGAGGGCGCTGGCCATGCGGGCGACTCATCGTCGGCAGAAGCTTTCGCAGGAGCTGCTCGAGTCCCGTGCACGGGGGGAGGGGGGGGGGCATAGCTTCAAGCTGGCAGCTGGCAGCTCGCTCGTCCAAGCCGTGAGCCCGGCCAATGCCAGGCGCTGCATATTCGTCTTCCAGCACCACGTCGGCTATCGCGCCACTGGCTGGCGAAGAATTTGCTGCTGCGACGCCGAGCTAGCTGCAGTATCGGCCGGCAAGGCTGGGTGCAGCTGGTCGCATGCCCCAAGGCGAATTCCGGCGCGGGCTGGCTGATCGGGCAGGGAGAAGGAAAAAAACGGGAGAAAAAAAAACACGACCATCGGAGAAAAAAGGTGAATAGGTGTAGTCGTGGTCTTGCTTTCACATGGACAGCCGGAGGGGGTGAGGCTTTGGAGAGCGGGCGGCAATGGCAGTGGTTCTCTGCTGCGTCTTACTACACTGGCACTACTACTGCTATTATTACTTCGCTTCTCAATCGGGCAGGCACGCCTCGTGTGCACCTGCTGCGTTTCCAGTCGAATGGCGCGCCTCGCCTGCAGCTACCATGGTCGCGTGCACCTGCCACGCTGCTCGCTGCCTGTGCTGGGCGCCGCCCTCATGTCTTCTACCGCAGCGGAACCGTGGGACGCTCTGCCTTCACCGCCCCGAACTGGCCTTGTCCCACCATGTCGCTTTCAGTCCAGTCTTTGAACGGCGACACATGCTTCCTACTCACATTCGACCCACCGGCAGCCCCACTGACGTCGCCGGGGCTCTTTCCCGGCTCTTTTACGATTCTAGTTGACCGTACGTTAACCATGTGAGCTTCGCAAGTCGGCCAGACTGGGTCGTGGCAGCATGTGATGCATCGACAGAGGGTTGCTAACACTTCCGGTCACGGGCAGCCTGGCTTAGCGGACCCTCGATCATCCTCAACTCGGTCTTCTCCCACTCTGAGCAAAAGTCGAAGCCGTGCATCGCCAGTCTGCGCGAGCTTGACCGCGAGCCCGACCTCGTGCTTGTATCGCAAGACAAGCCCGACCATTGCCATGAAGCG